TATACGAGGGCAGTCCGATAAGTACTTAGCCTACAAAAGAAAAACCAAAATTTTGGAAAAGTGGCGATTTATTCCTCAACATAGTCTCCTTTTAGCTCGATACACTTGACCCAGCGATGCTCCAACTTCTTTAACCCATCTGAAAAATACGTTTTCTCGAAGTCTGCAAAGGCCTCCGTGGCGGCGATGACCTCCTCATTCGACTCAAATTTCTGCCCGGCGAGTGACTTTTTCAAGTTTAAAAACAAAAAAATGTCGCGCGGGGCCAAATCTGGAGAATACGGTGGATGGGGCAGCAGTTCATAGTCCAATTCGACCAATTTGACCGAATGAGGAAGTCATCGCCGCCACGGAGGCCTACTTTGCAGACTTCGAGAAAATGTATTTTTCAGATGGGTTAAAGAAGTTGGAGCATCGCTGGGTCAAGTGTATCGAGCTAAAAGGAGACTATGTTGAGGAATAAATCGCCACTTTTCCAAAATTTTGGTTTTTCTTTTGTAGGCTAAGTACTTATCGGACTGCCCTCGTATATATATATATATATATCTATATACACGACACATGTACTCGCCAAACTCGCGTCGTATCTACTTGCAAGAAGAGAATGAATTGAATAATTAACGATGAGCAAAGTTTACAGAGAAGCACCAGGATAAGCACGAGAACAACCTTCCGAGAAACGCGTCTCCGTAACCAACAGTGAAACGAGTTGTGCTGGTGCACGAGGAAGTTATTCGCGTTCAAGGATATCCGATTGTCACAGAAATCGTGATAAAGCTTCACAGTGATCGGAGATATTTATTCCGATAAGGAATAAATCATAAGACGCTGAGAATGTCTATGCGATTGATACCTCAATATTGTTCCTATCCGGATCTTGCATGAAACACATAACAAGCATTTACACGTTCCATCTTTTTTCAGAAGAAAGAGAGAGAATTTTTGCATTATTTTGTAAATATTATTTTTTTAATCTCTAAGTGAAAGAGAAAATAAAAGGAAAGAGAAAATTTGCAGTATATTAAAACGGTGTATTAACATACAAATGAGACGTGCACAGTGAAAAATCTTGTGTTAAATTTAACACATTTCACATGTCCCAAACGGCCCACACAAATTTTTATGTTAATTTAGCACAAATTGAGTATGTTGAAAAATATTATAAATACACACATATTACATAATATTTATATTATGAAAAATATTATAAATACACACATATTACATAATATTTATATTATGTAAAAAACTAACACAAAATTAATATCTACAATATGCTAAGCGATATTTAAGTATAAAAATATTATTTTTAATACTTACAAGTATTATTTTAACATTTATACATCCTGAATGCCTCGACACAAAATATCGAGGTAACATAAACACTATATGTTAAATTAACTATTATTAACAACACAAACACTATATGTTAAATTAAATACAGGTATGTTAAAAATTTAACACCAAAATTTTAACAAGGATCGATTTCACACAAGTACAAAATGTGTTTTTACTATGTATATTTTCTATTTTATATTCAAGTTGATTGTGATGTATATTTCATATATTCTATTTTGTTTCAGGTAAATATTTCACGGAATAAAATGCATCTTTACATATGGAAAAATGCACATTGTTATCGAATGAATCGCTATCGAGGCCATGTGTCATAAAAATAGATATGACGAAATGTATTTTGCCAATTTATCTGACGACTTTTAAAAGTTATAACATTTCCCAAAGTTTCTATCCGGATATGCGCGGATTGTAATTCGCGATAACACACAAGTCACTATATTTTACTCCACAATAAATATTAACAAACGCAATAGTTTGTAAACAAAAGCGCGGCGAAGTCATATTGTCTCACGGCGCGTAAGTTCATCAAGATTAAAAAAGACATGTCACTTTACGATTTCATCTCCGCCGATTATCACGCGGCACGATACAATTTTTCTTTTTTCTCGAGAGAAAGAAAATATATACATTATTTCGATGATACGTTATCTGCCGACTGTGACACTGATCGAACGTATCGAAGCCGCATAAAGCAAGTCGGTAAATTATTTTCAATAAAACGCGTAATTAACGCATCGACGTGTCACGCAGCTCGTAAATATCCGAAGAATGCAACATGAAGAGATATATTTACCGACAACACCGTCGTGGTGATGTTTCAATTATATGCGTCTCAATAAAAACGTTTTGTATTAAAATCAGTAAAACTTGTATTAAAATCGGTCCTTAAATATTCGTTAAAATTTTTGAGTCAAATTTTTAATATATGTGTATTAATTTAACATATTGTGTTTATGTTATCTCAACATTTTATGTTTATGTTGCGTCGACATATGTAATATGTAACATATTACGCGCAACATATTAATTTTGCGTTAATATTTGACATAATATTTAGTTACTTTTCAACATATTCACTTTGTATTAAATTAACATAAAAATTTGAATGGACCGCTTGGGACATGTGAAATGTATTTATTTCGTTATTGTTCACATTTAATATAAAAATTTCTATTGCATCGTAAATAATATTTTATATTTGTGTTAAAATAGGTCCTTGTCAAAATTTTTGGATTAAATTTTTAATATAAACCGTGCGTTAATTTAACATTGTGTTTATGTTACCTCAATATTTTTGTGTTCAGTCGATATTCAACATGTATAAATATTAAAATAACACATTTTATATTTCAGTGTCGATTAAAATATTACGGATATTAATTTCGTGTTAACTTTTGACATAATATTTATATTACTTTTCAACATATTCTGCTTGCGTTAAATGTAACACAAAATTTTCTACTGTGTACAATTCTACTGTGTACAATTCTCTTCAATGAAGAAACTATATATATGTGTTATATAAAATATATTCTCTCATCTCTCAGGATTGCCAGGCGTTATCTGCGAGATACTTGACGATATCGACAAAATGACACGCGTTATCGCTTACAATCGCTGCGGTATGATGTAAATGGACGTTCCGTGTAATTATTCCTTTTTTTTCTTTATTATACGTTCTAAAATTAACGACACGCGAAGAGGCATCGCGTAACGCGATCAAAGTTCATTCTCATTATGACACAATGAAAATCAATTTTTATCGTAGAGTACGATCAGGCGGCGTTCCGATCTATTGATAATGATTATCGATAGTCTATACGTTTTATTATGTAACGAACGAGCTCAATAGAAGATCATCCGCGACATAGCTCAAGAGATCCGATCGTTACGGATTCCTTCTTGCACTACAGATCTAAGTATGTTATTTTTAATAATAAATTGCGCATAAATGTCTAAAAATTATAAATTAAATTGAAACTTTTTTACACGTGTCTTGCATCATTTGAAACGTTTAGTCGTGTAAATTGTAAATTAACAGGCCTAATCATGTTAAATAACGTGATTTAAAACGACAAGAAATGTGTAAGAAAAACTATACACGGAAAACAGGAATTAGCTCCCACAACTAAAAATTAACTCTCACAGGCAAAAATTAGCTGTCCATACATTAATTAAACCAAAGTTTAATTAATTTAGCTAATTTTTTTCTCTATGTACTTAGTTTTTAGTAGGATTAGTCTTTTCTTTCGAAAGTTTTGAGATTCGAATTTCGAATCTCCGAAGATTCGAAACTTCGGTGTCCATTATTCGAATTTCGAATATATCGAAGTTTCGAAATATCGGAATTAAAAGATTCTAAACTATATAATGACTGGTACATCCATTCATTTACAAAAGAATACATTTACAACACTTCTCAGTCTTCCCTGAGTAAAATATATGTGGTTATTAATCTACAGCATTCGCAAGAATTGTACTCTTCAAAGCTCCGAAACCTCGCCTTTGAAAACGAATCCTTCGAAGCTCCACCTTACCAAAATTCGACTTTCCTTCGAAGCTTCGTAGCTTGAAAATTATCGAAGATTAACAGCTCTAGCTTTCAGCGCTCACAGTTAAAAACTAGATCTAGTAACTAAATTTCAGTTCTATTACATGGACATGTATTATAAGTTTTTAATTTGTGCAGCTATATATATAATAACACACTTGGATTTGCACAGTGTGCCATCTCGCTCGACACGTACTTTTTATATTGGCAGGGAATCCCCACAATAGCGACGAATCTCTCGCACTCCTTTCCGGGCAACACCATGCCCGTCCGGTTGGAGTAGCTGAAGGAGGGCGAGAAGCGCAACGTCGACGTGTCGTTCAAAGGCACGCACAAGGAGCCCATGTCCGCGCTCCTCACAAGAATCTCGTTCACGGAACAGCATTTCGCTACCAGCGGCAGCTCCTTGTATTCTTCCGGCACGAGGGAAGTCTCGTTTTGCTAAAGAAAAATCATAGGATATCGCGGGATCGTTGCAGCACGGCGCGACGTCGAGAGAGAGAGAGAGAGAGAGAGAGAGAGCTCGGAAACGAAATGAAATAAAATCTCGACGGGCCGAAATTGGAAAAACACATCCCGCGATGTGTCATGAATACCAATGAGGCGGATAACGATGCAAATGCGAAATAAATTGCTGGCGGCGCGTGAAAGAGCAATTTATCCGAACTGGTTTGAGAGATTCGGCGGCCACACGGGAAGATGGAAGAATCGCACGTTTCTCCCAGCAATCTTCTGGGACTTCCGTGAAAATGACGTGCATAACGATTTTGCATGCATGAACGGAGAGAGAGATCGCGTAAACAGCATACAATGTATGTCGCGTATTGTTATTCAGAAATAGTGATAAATTGAGCCGCGGCCTCTCGACGTACGTACGTACCGATTGTACGTCTTGAGTGCGGGACTGAATAAGATTCGCTGTCGAGATGCGACTTTGAACATTCCGGTTCGTCCGGCGCACCTTCGATCGACGATGTTCCGTGTAAAGCTCTCGCGATTGAAGTAATCTGGACAATATCAAGAAATAGCGATCGATGCGATCGATTGGCGCGCTCCAAATATAACTCCGCGAAAAAGAGAGAAAAAAGAGAAAGAGAGAGAGAGACAGAGTTTTATCCCATGTGATATATAAATATCCCCTTAAGCATACATAAAGCAATTTCGTCTGAAAAAACCAGTACAGAATATACACTTAAATAGAAATTTTAGTCCTATTTTAAGCTTAATTTAATTCTATATTACAAATGTTCAAAGATTTTCTATTGTGCTCTTTTGATGCTACAAATAGGGAAGCTATTGCCTTTTCTTCATTTGAAGACTTAACATAGAATTAAAAATTTCGACTCGGGCAGTCAGAAAAAAATAGCATCAATAGCCGAGTCGAAATTTTAGTCCTACTTTAAGTCTAATTTAGTTCTACATTAAATGTTCAAAGGTTTTTTATCCCTCTGTAGCATTAAAGAAGCATTTATTGCACTCCTTTGAAGCTACAAATGGGAACTTATTTCCGTTTTCTCTATTTGAAGAGTTAATGTAAAATTTAAAATTTCGACTCGGACATTCCGAGTCGAAATTTTAATCTTGAAATAAATCTACTAATTTCAAGTTCAATTTCAATTAAATCTTCAAGTGGAAAAAACAAAAATAACTTTCCACTTGTAGCATCCAAAAAGCACTAATAATGTAGATTTTTTTTTATTCTAGAAAGGGAATTTAGACCTTCTGGGGGATAATTTTAAATTTTACATTAAATTTCCAAATGGAAAAAACGAAAATAATTTCCTATATGTAGCGTCAAAGAAAGCACAATAAAGCACAATAAAGACCTTTGAATACTTTGTTCCCATATTCTGAACTCTCTTTCCTCAATAAAAGTGGTTTCTCAGCCAATTAGGTACTTCCTAAGCCACTCTTAGAGGCGTTTTTATCGATAAAAGAGAGTTCAGAATACGGGCCTCAATGTAGAACTAAATAAACTTAACGTAGAATTGAAATTTCAACTCGGATAACGCAATAAGAATGTAATAAAGAAAAGTGATAATATCCAATAGTGATATATCCAATAGTGAGTAATAGCTCTAGGGCGCAAAAACTATTCACGTAAAGTTCTGGCGATTGAAGTAATCTGGGCAATATCAAGAAATAGAGATCGCGATACAAACGCGATCGGCCGATCAGCGCGCTCCAAATCTCCAAATATAACTCCGCGAGAGAGAGAGAGAGAGAGAGAGAGAGAAAGAGAGAGATACATGGAGAGATGCGGCGTACGTGAGAAGATGGATAAATAAATTCGGGCTGATTTCGGTCTAGCGACATAAATATTCGCCGAAGCAAGTACTTACCAGCGGAATTGCGTATATGATGGGCGCCGTCGCTACGTCACTCGCGTGCGCAATCGGCGCCGAGAAGTGCGCGAGGAGGACGCAGACGCAAGCGAGACGCATCCTGGACAATAGCCGCGGCCTGGAGTCTACGAAATCGTCGGGCGAGATCAAATTTTCGCTCGGTTTCTCGCGGAGCAATGATGGGGAAACGCGACACGGTCTGATCGAGTCTCTCGGAGCATTAACCCTTAAATGCACAGTGTTGCAAATTTGCAACATATTTATTTTTCCTCTTCGTCGAGATCAAAGGCACACCTAAACGTGGAAGACCAAATTCTTCCTTAAAACGAAATATACAATCCAAAAGGCACAAAGGCAATGCTCAACATATGCCTCAGATTTTATTAAATATTTTTCTTATTTTCCGGGACTACTTATGAACCTAAAAAAAAATAATTTAGTAATAAAAAAAAATGTATGCATTTAAGGGTTAATATGCATCGCCGAGCATCGTCGAACTTCGGATTTCGCGCACGATTATCTATCCTCGGCGATCAACAGGACGGAATGACGGTTCGACCTCACAATCTCGATACGACAATGAGAAGACACGAGAAGCTAACGTTCGGGTCGCGATGACAGGGCGGGCAATTCAGTTCACACAGCGCTGTTTCGTCACACGGTATCGCGTCAGGATCTCGCACATTTATCTTGTCACACCTTGCTTACACTGCGCCGATAAGTCGCAGACGCTTCCGCGTAACGTGGGCGTCATTATTTGCCCGATCGACGTCGATCTGTATTAATTACCCGAGAAAAAATGATACATGATTGTATATAATTATATAAAATCATATGCACGAATTTTGCCCATACATGTCTATACGAAAAAGAAACGATGTCATGTCATTTGATTAAACGTCGATGTCATGCGCTGTCGGAAACGCAAATACCCAGAAGCATTGACTTCGATTGTATTTGCATATATGATTTGTAAACAACAGTAGGACAGTTCTTCGTTCTGGACATATGATTCTATATAGTCGGATATGGGCGAATTTCATGTAAGATCTCTTTTTTCCCGGATAAAAACTCGAATACGCTAGGCGCGTATTATTGGATGGCGCGCCGCAACCGGTGCGTCGGTGTTTCGCCGGCCGGCCGGCTTCGTCAAGCTGCATTCACGAGCGGGCTTCCTCGTAAAATCCCGCCGCGACCCACGCACGCGTAGACACACGCACATACACCTATTATTTTTATCGCGCTGTCACCGATCTTTCGCAATTTCTCCGAGTCGCGGGTGCACCTATCGTCACTTCACATTTCACGTTACCGTTGGCGTTAGGTCATTCGGGAATTCCGGCCGGGACTGCCCGAAACGCGACAGTCACGAAGAGATGACGTTACCGGGGAGTAACCTGGGGGGGTCCCTCGATCGAGTTTGAATGAAGCGACACTTTCTCCCGATCATTCTATTCCACGTGACCGCTTTATCGCGAGATACCTCCGAGGGATATCGATTTTCAACGGAGCGACCTTGAGCTCCGTCTTCATTTGCATAATTATTTCGGAACCCGAGGATCGTGACCCGCCGTGTCGCTGTGGAACGGAGACGTCAACTTTCGAAAACTCGAATTAAGGTGTTACCGGCAACACATTCGGTGTGTGATCAAGATGATACCAGCCGAGACGACGAGATCGAGAACGCACGTTCACGATGCGCGGTTCACCGACCTCAAACTTCCCGCTACTTCATCGCCGAAGGGGGCGATGCTTTCATCAAGGAAAACGAACAACGATCCTCTTTGCGTTTTACCATTCCCGATTATTCGGCGCGTTCTCCATTATTACACTCCTCCTCCTCCTCCGCGAACCGGCCTTTTCGACGGTGACGTTTTCCTCGGCCACGACGAGGGGAACGAATTTGCGTACGTCGATCGTCGTTGCAAGGACGCGCGCGAATGCGCTTCCGATTGCTCCGTGAATAATTGAACACCGTCTACGTTACGCGGCGTTAATAATAATCGGCTTTCGCACGAAACCACGCACGCACTGGCGCATAATCAACCGTCTGATCCGCGGCAGTTTCGATTCGCCTTGAATTGGCGGCCACGCGCACCGGCGATCCCCCCGAAAGAGATCCTTCACTGAGATTGCAGAGAAGCCGGCTTCTTCTCACGTTGTTTCGTTAAAAAATCGCTCTAACCGCTTACACTTCAACGAGTCGTTATCTCCCCGGTGAACCGCCGCAGCAAACGCGATAATTGCCGACCGGACAGACAACGTGGCCGGCGAGCGAAGCGACCAGGTGATCCCCACGTGCCTCGCTGATCGCCGTCCGAGAGCTCACTGGCCGGACTTCTCGATCCGCTCGCGCCTTTATCGAATGCGAGAGCGATCTCACTCGCGCGCGCGCCTCGGTGCGAACTCCGGCGAACGTGCCGGCGCGAGCTACGCTCGTGTGTATACGGAATGTAATAATAATAATAACAATAATAACGATACTTTATTGGACGCGGGTTGTACGTTGAATGATGAGTGTTTGTTAAATAAGAACGAGACTGAGAAAAAGGCGCAGCAATAACTGATTTTAATTCATTGTTTTCCTAAAACTAAGTTAAAGTCTAATAGATAATAAAATAATGTAATAAATATAACGTTGGAGCGAGATGCAAAGTAAAAATTACATATTATCGAAAACATAACGCGGAGTGCTTTTAATGCGGTCGTGTGCGGAAAATATACAGGATGTAGGTGATTAATATGAACGAGCTTCATAAGGGCGTAGAACGAATTTGAAGTGAACAAAAAAGTTCTTTACCACTTTGCAAGCAACACGCACAATTTCGAGTTATTATTGAAAATGACCATAGCACAGAGGCTTCTTTAATTAATAACTCGTAATTCTGCGTGTTGCTTGCAAAATGATACAGGACTTTTTCATTCAGAATGATCTAATCTACAAGTATATGACAACTGTTGCAGCGACAGACACTAGTATATTGAATCTTGAATCTCGAACCTTGAACCTGTCGCTAATTACAACTGTCATATACTTGCAGACTAGGCTACTCGGAACAAAAAAGTCCTGTGCTATTTTGCAAGCAACACGCAAATTTTTGAGTTATTAATTAAGGAAGACTCTATTGTATACCATTTTCAATAATTAATAACTCCAAGTTTAAGGCGTTGTTTGCAAAATAATAGAAAACTTTTCTGTCCATCTCAATCCGTTCTACGCCCTCACTAAGTTCGTCCATGTTGATTTGGGATACCCTGTATAAATATATAGGATACATCGAGGATATTTCACACCATCGCAGTTACCGATCGCCGAAGACGGATATTTATCCGATCGACCGATCCGCCAAATAATCGCGTAGTTGAGGACCCGCCTAGAGAAAGATCTCGTAAATTTTACAGCGTGATCGCACTCCGCGAGATAAATTATCGATGAGTTTACGTGGGCGCTATTAATAATAAATTATTAGCTACGTGTGTGTGTATAGTTCGATGCAAGCTCGTTGCACGTGAAACATGAACACGTTATCAATGTTTGCGCCAAGTGTCACGCGTGACTCGCACACGTCACCCGTCACGCATTCATTACACCTTTCGTTCTTTCATTTTCTCTCGCTCTCCTATCTTCCGACGATCCTCTCCTCGACGAACGACGATCGCGAAAAACAGAAGAAACGTAGAGGCGCATCCGTTCGCTTGATTACTCCGCTACTATTTTCGTACATCTGTCGGCGCTTTTTCGGGCGCTGATAAACGCGAATCGATACCGTCCGGTCGGGAAGCTCGGAGCTTATCGCTTATCCAAGAGGAGTTGCACATCTGACTTTTTTAAGATAACACGAGCACTTGAATGTTATAGCCATTACATTACACACCATCATCGAGATTAAGAGCGATTGCGAAATTTCATCGACAGTTGCTAGCACCGCGACCTCTCAAAATCCTGCGCTACCATTCAGTTTCACCGGAGGCAAAAAAATGAAATAACGTCTGCTTATTGGCAGAAAAAGTAACGAAAAGTGATTTCTCAGATATCAAAATAGTGACCGAAAGTGACATTTTCCTTCAAGTTCTGAAAATAACCACGGTCATTTAAGCAAAAAAGAAATACCTACTCTTATCTTTCTAGGTTTATATTTGAATAACTTAACGTACAGAGTGAGTCACTTGACTTTAGAAGCCTGAATATATAAAAAATAAAGCATAATAGAAAGAAATGTTCTGGACAAAAGTTGTAGAGCTTGGAAAGAGGTATAAGTTGATGACCTTCATTATATAGTCAATAATTCAAGATTTCTTCAAAGTCAGTTACGTTTTTTTTTTTTAATGGAATCATAGAGTTTCTTTAACACAAATTGATTTTCCTATTTATTCTGAATATAAAAGTGTTAGAATAAGATCATAAAAAAGTGAATATTTTTCGAAACATTTTACTTTTCATTCTCATATATTTCAATATAAAATATAAAATATTTCATAAAGTATTTACTATACAACAAAAGTTAAGGTCACAAATTTATACCACCTTACAAATATTACAACTTTTGTCCGGAACATTTCTTCCTATTTTGTTTTATTTTTTTATATATTTAGACTTCTAAAGTTAAGTGACCCATCCTATATAGCGAGTCCATTTTATAGTATGATTTGAAAGTTTATAACAAAGAAAAACCAAGGGCATTGACAATAAATACAAGTACACTTTTGGAGCAGTTTTATTAAGAAAAACGGCAAAGTCGGCAGCTCATGAAAAAAGTGACTATAGCGACCCATTGCGGACGATAGTGAGTTTTTTAATGACTTATCAAGAAAAAGTAACAAAAAGTGCCTGAATGGTAGGGCCGGAAACGCTACTTTTACGTTACGTTAATCGCGGTGACGGGAGGAAACGCATATACCGCAAGTTATCACCGCGATTTATCAGTGATGGAAATCTCGTGCAATTTTTTTCCTAGGAAATGATCGGTTTGATATCGGCTGATGTCTACAGCGAAGACGACGTAATTCTGCTAACATGCCGGCCACGTCATTCGGCCGGGCGAGCTTCCGGCCGAGTCCACTGATACCGGATTTCTACGACGGAAACAATACGATCGACGTTTCTCCGGATCGGAATCTCGATCGATCCGGCTTGATCTGCCGACGCGTGCATCTTCAAAACACGTCCGTGCTCTTACGTATAACGCGCAGCAGGGGGTGCAGCAGCGTGAAGTGTAAACGAAGACCGAGCTGCGCGTTAGCACGAGGGGGTGTAGCAAGGTGTTACGGTAAACACAGAATGGAGAACGATGTCGCTATTTCGGTCGATAACGCGATGCACGCGTTCATTATACTTGCACGGATATCCGGACACGCCAACTCTAGTTTCCTTCCTTTCGCAAACTCCCCTCAAGGTTTGGCGTCGAAAACTCCATCGGATGGAATAACGGGAAAATAAAGCTCGAGCACCGAGCACCGAGCACAATTCAGATATACATCTTAATGTATTCATCGTCATTTTATGACACAACTACTTTAACATCTTAATTAAGATCTTAATTAAGATGTTAAGGTAGTTGTAGCATAAAATGAATTTTTCAAGAACGCGTGGAACTTACACTACGATATATATAAATTTATTTTTATAAATTTGTTTATAAATATATAAATTTAAATACGACCAAATTATTGGCGCAATTAGAGAAGGATTGATCGTCCGAAAATTGAGACATTTGCAACCAAAGTTGACGCTTCTTGCACGCTTCTCATCCTTTACTCCTTGAGGTTAATGTCCTATTTTTAATTTCTTCTAAACCACTGTTAGGATTTGAGCGAAAAATTAATGTGATATTAAAGACTAATATAGACATATTGTGCAACAATTTCAGAATTATTGACCATTCTTCCATGTTTTAAAAATATAGCCATAGGAAGTTTACAGTTTACAGTTTATAGTGATACCCGCGATATAGGTGTTTACAAAAATGCACAAGGTCAGAAACCCCTACAGTATAGACGTCCAAGGGATGTCCTAAAGTATAGAAGACATCTCGATGGACTTCATAGGACGTCCATCGAATAAAGCGGGCTGTATGATAATTGATGGCCGTAATAGCGACTTAGCAATTGTTTTCCTTTAAGTTGCTTCTTAATTTTTGGCCATACCGGATCAGAATTGATGGATGACAATTCCAAACAAAACGTCAGATTTAACGCAATTGAAGATAGAAAGATAAAGTTCATCTTCGTCACTGCTTTTCTGCTTTAGTTGAGGGACAATGAAAATACTGATTTGTGAAACCCATGTGGAGAGAATATTGTGTCCGTTGCTGTCTGTAAGAAATAGTTTAAAAGGTTTAGGAATGTTGATTACGATGTTAACGCCAAACTACATTTTGGTCGTCCAAATGAGATGGAGAATGACAAATTGGAAGCATTGCTTAACAAAAACTCAGCCTGAACATTAAAAGAGCTTGCAGGGCAGCTGAGAGTTGATAAATCAACAATATTTTGCCATTTGAAAGCAATAGAAAAGATCCAGGAAAAAGAAAGATGACTATAAACTATAAACACGATTGCCACCGGCTTATCGTCTATCTCTCATTGCTTGTCAGGTGCAAAGAAGAATTTTTGTGGGCAATAGTTGCGGGTGATGAAAAGCGAATCTATTTCAACAGTCCTAAACGCAAAAAGTCATGGTTTTATCCCGGCCAATCATTGATATCCACAACAAACCACAACATCCACGGTCGTAAGGTTCTCCTGTGTGATTTGATGGGATCAAGAAGAAATGCTTTACTATGAATTATTACCATTAGGGCAGACAGTAACAGGAGATCGCCACAATTAACAATTGGCGTTTGAATCAAGCCGTAAAGGACAAACGCCCTTAAATAGCCGCGAATCAACGCAAAGCCATTCTGCTTCACGACGCCAGGCTATATGTTATCGTTGCGACTAAAGAGACGTTGTTTGAGTTAGATTGAAAAGTCCCGCCGCACCCAGCGTACTCTCCAGACATCGCCACATCTGATCTTCATCTATTCAGATCGATTGAGCACGGTCTATCTGATACACAGTTCCGAAATGAGGTGAAGAAGTACGAAAATGGGTCGATGAATGGATTACCTCGAACGATGAGTCATTTTATCGGCGCGAGATCAAATTATTGCTCGAAAAATGGCAAAAGGCTATTGATAGTAACAGCTAATACCTTGATTCAAATATATCTCATCTCATCGTTACTAATAAATAATATCTTACGAATTTTTGCAAATACCTAATTCATATACACACATTTAAATATTTAAATATCGCTTTCTATCATGTATGCACCTTTAT